AGAGCTCGGAAATGGCAGTCGAGCTTTCCCGGCTGTAGGGCGCGGACGTATTGTGGAGCACTTATCAGTTGAGCATAGACGTCCACAACGCAACAGTGGATTTCGGTAAGTATAGCAATGGTGAATCGATAGGAATAGTCTATGCATTCGACGGGCGTGGCGGCCTCCGAGAGTGTCTTGTCGAACGAGATCGTCGTGAGCAGTGGCGTGCTAGAATCTCCTTTCTGTGCTCCGTATACCGTGACCACGGTATAGCAGCATAGGAGTAAGGGGCAACTGCGAGCTGACATCAAAACCGAATCTGGTACCACGCGGAGCGACGCTCAAGCTCAGGCTTACTTTACTTCGGGGAGGACCGACCTTGTGGTCACTCTTACATAGTATACCAACATCTGAATCCTCGGGCACTATATACGGCACTGTGAGAGGAGCAGGTTCACAAGTGTACCTAGAGGTGGGCTTGAGCGTTCAATGCGACCAGCTTTTACGTACACTGCAGCCCGAGCAGTATCAACCCCACACTCTGCCCACGACGGTCGCGCATTCACTAGGGGCTTTTCGATACTAAAACAATCATCCCATCGTCTCTCAGCTGTAGTCATACCAGGGAAACCTGTGGGGGGAGTTCACACTCAGGGATAGGAGATCGTGCTTACCAGGGTAAGCCTCTCCAGCACCTAGCGAGCTGAGGTCAGGAAAACTCTTCGAATGCACTACACCATGTAGACAGTAAGCGGCTTGTCTCGAAGCATTGAAATGTGGCGAGCGTTGACCCTATGAAAATATCGAGGGAATCTTGAGGTCCACATCATACCTTTTTGAATACACTCTTGCCGTGACCACCTGCTGCTTCCCAGAAGGGGTCTGCATAACTAGATGATGATGGTTGTTCCTAAGTCGTTACTGCCCAAACGAGACCAAGTCAGTAGCAGCTCACATTGGCATGTGCAGCATGTCTATTCTCCAACCTTATGAGCTCTTGTAAATTCCTACCGCCACCATACCACCAACCACTTGAATGTGGATGGTTTGTTGTCCCAGTGAACATTTATAGCTTTCGTGGGAGTGGCTACTAAGTCGCACACGTAGTAGGTTACTCTCAGCTGGGACTAGTCACTCCAACAATCTCCCAAGATTGAGACTCAATAATGACCTTCCCGCGCACTATTGCTTAACACAACTCCTATCATTCATTGGAGACAGTAAAGGCATCCTACTCTAAGCAGCATAACTCCAACTACTGGGGTAGCCTTATAACGCTGGTAGGACCCACAGTGGTCGAGCCCTCACTGCACGTGGCCGTGAGAATGTGAGTCGAGGTAGTGGCCACTGATCTACGGTAATTGAGAGTTAATATTGGTACACACTCTCAGCGTCGATGATTGGACAACGCAAAGCAGGACTTGCCGGTAGAGCGAGAGACTGCGCCATCGCTAAGCTCGTAAGATCTCTACCGTGCTTGGTGAGACGGGAAATCCATGTTTACCCTGTTTACTTCTCCTTAACGTCAGACTCCCTTCCTTTCCGATTTGCATTATACCGAGCTCGGCCTGCCATTTTAGGCTTACCCTAACGAGCGATCCTGAGCTGATCCATCCAGAAGGAACTAACCCTGTCTGACTCCAGGTTGGAAGCATAGTTTGACCCTAGCCAACAGTGTGCCATAGACCTCATCCTATACGATTATAGCATCCCAGCGGTCCAAATAGACTCGCAGCTCCACCGATACAGCGAGCACTGACAGTGTGATAGTTAGTAAGCTGCTCAATACCAATAGATGGTTTCTCTACTAGATAACTGCAAAAGATGAGGTAATACGATGTTAGACTAGTGATGTCCTCGTTGACCTGGTCATACCGAGAGCCTATTGTAAGGATGTGGTTTGGCTACCACAAGGTCTATGAGAGTATGTCTGCTGCCACACCTATTATCAGCCGACTTCCTCATATTGCAGCCTCCTCTCAACCTCAATACACATGGTTAATCGCGGCCTATTGATACCATGACCGAGCAGCATCTGTAAGGTATCTCTGCCCAGAAAACTTTTAGGTGGCTCTGCAGCGTCCCCCCCGCACTTACTATAGGATGCTCTCCCAAGCCTGCAAGGTATACTATTCGTGGCGAGCTCTACCCCAGTATCAGTCAATTACTCGTGGATTATAGGCCTATACCAGCTGTGTCATCCATACGAGACGGACACAGCACTATGGAATCGGGCGGCTGGAGAGGATTTTACGGCGAGCGCTAAGTAATACTGCGCAGTAAATGAATTTCTGCCGTTCGAGCGGAGCGAAACGGCCTACTGCGAGCCTTTACATCCTCTAAGATGAGTCCCTTACATTTGCATCACAGCTAGGTGTCATACCATCCTTTTCCGAAATCGTCTCTTAACTTCTATAATGAGTAGTAGCTGTTGTTTTTTAATGTCCGCGGCTACGGTAGTTTCAGGATCTGTTGCTGGTGGTGGTAACCGATCAATACCAGCACGAGTAGTAGTCAGTGAGCAAGAGCGTCATAATGCAGAGGATCTCGCCTTCGACCTAAGGCAGATGGTCCGAAATGGTCATATTAACGAACCACAGTGCAAGGACCTCAAAGAGCAGTGTGAGCTTGAGTTTAGGTAGGCCTCTAGACACATCTCCCTGTGTCAACTATTGCCTCCTTCTCAGTCGTTGGGAGTCATTGGCGCAACAGGCAGCTAACAGGGAGGACTTTGAAGAGTTCGAGCGGCTCACAGAGGTAGAATGTGGACTAGCATCACCCTACAGCGCTGGACCTGTTATTAGATTGCCCACAAACTGGGGGATGCCCTAAGGGTCTATGATGATGCCAGCAGAGGCGACGCTGGTGACGATAGCACTCGACTAGACAGAGGCCTCAGTCTTGGTGGCCAGTCTGCAGTAGCCCCTCTAGCTGCCTCTCCAGGTGGTATAGTAGGCTGAAGGTATGTGGTGATAGTGGACAGTGTAGGTACATTCCGAGATACGAATCGAAACGACGCCCCGCTGACCTCACCGGTGGCCGATGCTGACCAACCGCCTCCCTCGTCGGGAAATGCTGAGAAGAAGTCTCGAAAGAAAGAGAAGAAGCATCAGCGAAAGCAGAGCGTCGAGTCATTCGAGGACTT